GACCAAGACATTGTAAGGAAAAGGTAGGAAAAAACAAAATCACAATTAGAACAGATATCAATGAAGAAAAATACAAATATCAAAATATTGTACTAAAAATGTTGTACTAAAAAAGGTCTAAAAATAATAGTGGCATATAGTAAAAAAAGTACTAAAGATGGAACTTATGGAGTAGGTAATAATAATAATAATAATAATAATAATAATAATAATAAAAGCCTTTGATAGTGTTCCACATTCTTGGATCCTTAAGACTTTGGAAATGTACAAAGTCTCCCCCGTGGTATTAAATTTCCTAAAGCACAGCATGGGAATATGGAACACCAAACTATACCTTAGTCACACCGGGGGCACTGCCATATCCAACCGTCTGAATATCCGACGTGGAATCTTTCAAGGAGACTCTCTGTCACCCCTTCTGTTTTGTTTATCCTTAATCCCTCTTACACATGAACTGAACAACAGCAGCTATTGTTACAAAATAAATAAGAAAATATTCAATCACCTACTCTACATGGATGATCTCAAACTCTTTGCCAAAGACGACAATGAGTTGAAAGGCCTCCTCAATATTGTAAAATACTTCAGTGACGGCATAGGTATGGACTTCGGATTAGATAAATGTGCAAAAGTAACTTTCAAGAAAGGTAGAATTACAGAAACACCCTTAATAGATTTAGATTTTGTCACAAAGATTAGGGAACTAGAGCATGGTGAAGCTTATAAGTACCTAGGAATTAGCGAAGGAGATGGCATACAACACCCCAAATGAAGGAAAAATAAGAAAAGAATACTACAGGCGTGTACGTCTGGTACTAAATACTGAGTTGAACTCAAAAACAGGATATCAGCCATAAACACATTGGCTGTCCCTGTGGTGCAATACAGCTTTAATGTCCTTAACTGGACCATAGCTGAAATTAAGCGACTGGATGCCAAAACGAGAAAGCTACTCACTTGCTATCGCATGCATCATCCCAAAGCTGATGTCGACCGTCTGTATGTGCCCAGATCCGAAGGAGGCAGAGGATTAGTTCAACTAGAACTGTCCTACAAAACTACAACAATTGGCCTCCAAAGATATTTGGAAACTACAGAAGACTGGATGATGTGCGTCAAGGAACATGAAAGTAGTAAGCGTCTCTACTCCGTAATGAAGGAAGCCAAAAAATTCAAAATGGAGTTCCAAATGGGCGTAGAGATGCAACTACAGCACAATACACCGGCTGAAACTGCAAAATACCTAAAAAAGATAGCTAAGACGAATGCAACAGACCAGTTACAGAAGCGATGGCAAGATAAACCGCTTCATGGCCAATACTCTGCCCGTACCAAACAAGCTGACGTAGACAAAACCCGTACCCATCAGTGGCTACGTAGTGCATGGTTGAAAGCGGAAACTGAAGGTTTTATCCTTGCTGCAGGGACCAATGCTTGCTAACTAGGAATTATCAAGCAATATACTAAAATATTGTGTCAGTCCAAAATGCAGATTCTGTGATAAATATCCAGAAACGATTGATCATCTTGTAGCAGGTTGTACGGTGTTGGCACCCACTGAATATAAAACCCGACATGACAGAGTGGGCCAATATCTGCACTGGAAAATCTGCAACTTCTACGGGAAGAAAACTGAAAGAAACTGGTATGAACACCACCCAGACCCGGTTACGGAGATAGGACCTGTTACAATTCTATGGGACTACACAATACACACTGACAGAACAATCAAGGCCAACCGCCCAGATATTGTTATTAAAGACCATAAACAAAAACGGTGCCTCCTTATTGATATGGCAGTCCCTGCCGACTGCAATGTATCGTTGAAGATATTCAAAAGTTGTCAAAGTACAAGGACCTTGAAATAGAAATCGCGAAAATGTGGCATATGGGAACATCAACAATCCCTGTTGTAGTTGGAGCCCTAGGACTGGTTGGAAAAGATTCCAGTAGACTAATTGAAGGGATACCTGGAAGTCCATGCCTCAAGGAGATACAGAAAATTGTTCTAACAAGTACAGCCCACACCTTAAGAAGGGCTTTATCTATGTAATCTTTTTCTTTCTTTTTTTTTTTTTTTTGTCAGTGGAAAGTGTCATGACGCCATTTCTAACCTTAGGTCCCTGGGCGGGACCCGGAAAGAAATGTGTAAACGCTAGAAATCAAAGAAAATAAAAATATAATAATAATAATGATGGTGATGAAAAAAAGAAGCCCTAATGAAGAACGTAAGAATTAAAATTCAAACCGACCATCAAGCAATTCACCTTAGAAACCCAGATGTCTATAAACAAAGAAAATATCTTTTAAATAACTGATGTCGTATTTTCAACAAACAACGAAGAGAAACAGAAAAAAAAAAGAATTAAAAATCAGGAAATCATGTCTAGACATTGTGTAAGAAATGAAAATAAATTGTGTTGCAGAAAATGACGAGTCTATCCATAATAGAACGATTTCTGGAACTGCTCAGAAAGGTCTTCCCAAAAAAAAAAAAAAATCGGAATAATTGGAAATCCGTAAAACTAAAATCCTCCAGATGACGGCATTACAAAAGTAATTTAGAATAGTAAAGAGAATTCAGAAGTGTTGATGAAACTTGCTATCACTTGATCTCGATTTCCGATGTCATAAGCATAGTGACCTAAAAAAGAATAACAATGATAGCAATAGTTGTAAACGAAGGAAAAATGATTGGTTAAGTTATTGATTTGGAGATACCGAAATTCCCAAACTGAAGAAATCAAAGAACTCGCTCAGGAATAAATGAAAACAAAGAAACATGTAAGTGAACTTCATACTCGAAATAATTGGAGTATTTGTTTGTTTTTGTTTAGCGGCATATCAACAACTTTACGGTTTATTTCATCTCCAAATCTAAATATTTTTACGCAATTTTATTTATCTAATTTAAAAAAAAAAACCCAAAAAAAACAATTTTTTTAGTGAGACAATTCTTACTAATTAACCCATAGCTCGAGGGAGAAAAGGTGGATTCAGATCTTTCCCAAGAATATTTGCGTGTAAATTAATATAACAGACCATACTGGAATTGGAACTCAGCTCTCCGATTAACAATTTCGAACCATTACTCCAGTTGCATAACCAACCTTACAGCCTTTGGTATTCACAAGCGATCACACATCTAGGTACTGACCAAGATCGATATTACTTAACTTTCTTTGCGGTGGACGAAGCAATTGACTCAATGTATTTGTTCCATCTCAGGTCAGCAGTCAACGTGAGACCGAGCAACCGCAGAGAGGTGCTCTCGAGAAGATGAGCGTCAGACATTCTAATGGAGGACAGGGAATGATCTCTGTGGTGATTAATAGAGAGCAGTTTTGTTCTCTATTAATCAACACGGAATCGATCCTCCAGATCTACAAATCAACAATTCGCCCTTGCATGGATTATTTCTGCCATATATGGTCTAGAGACCCTTCTGTTTGCCTCGGGGTTCTTGATAGGCTCCAGAGGTGGATATGCAATATAATTGGCCCTGCTCTGGCGTCTCGTCTACAGTCACTGTCTCACAAACGCGCCGTCACCTCTCTCTGTCTGTTTTACAAATACTTTCATGGCAATTGCTCCAAGGAGCTGCATTCGCTGGTTCCCAGACTTCATGAGTTCAAGCGCCCTACGAGGCTGGCATCCCGCTCTCACCCCTTCACTGTCAAAACTCCTAAATGTAGTCGTCTCTTCTACTCCAATAGCTTCATGTCTCGCACCTCTCGCCTGTGGAACTCCCTTCCCTATTCCAGTTTCCCTGAGAGCTATAATCTTCAGCTATTCAAATGTAATGTCAATCGACATCTCCAGTTACCTTGATCTATCCACTATCCTCCTCCTCATCCTTTCCTCTATCACTCCTATCTGATCTTGCTCCAAATTTTCTGTAACCCCTTCAGTGGTCGTACGGGAACTGATATTTCAACATGATGTGGTCGTAAGCTAGGGTTTATGGAAAACTGAGTAATAATTGAAACGGTATCTGCAAGGATACTGAGGAAAGTGCTGGAAATGACAAGAAATTGTTGCTCTGTTTCCATTGACAAACAACTAATATCTAGTGTGAATATGCAAGAGAACATGAATAAAAATAAGAAAGAATACTAGGAAAGAGGAATAAGATAGGTTTTTCCTGAAAATCTATCGAATATTTTCTGCTGTAATATGCCATTTTCTTTTACAATATGGGATCTCTACAACTTCCTGTTTGTTGCTACATTAAGTAACTTCTGACCTTTTCCAATCCGCCTTGGTCTTTGTTTTGTCTTCTATTCAAACAAACACTTTAAGTAGGTTATTCGATATTATGTGCTTTGCTATTCAGAGCAGCATGTCGATTGTCATCCTCATAATGTTTCGGCCATTTTACCTTCTTCAGATGTTTGTCTTCGTACCTTTCCAGGAATTTGAAATTCATTATCCATGAAACTCAGATCTATTTGAAACTCATTATTTGTTTTCTACTACAGAAGACGATATGCGAATTTTCAGCACTACCAGAGCCAGGGATCGAACTCATAAATATCAGGGAACGCTATATGTTTTATAAAAATTTCTCATCTTAAATTTTTTGAAAAAGTTACTCGCCGTTTTCTTTCCGCTTCTCTTGCATTCAATGTGTCCTGTGAGTGTTAAATTCTCCAAGCTTTCTTCCCTAATTAGGTTTCCTAGAAATTTCAGCTCTCACTACCTTGTTTGCCTATATTGGTTTCGTTTGAGTCCCGATTTTTTTTATAAAAATATTATTGTTGTTGCTCTCATGCTTCGCTTCCTACATTTGCTAAAAGTTTATTCACGATTGCTTTAAGCCTGCAATCAACGCAGTAACATTTTGCGTAGCTTATATTGTTATCATTATCCCCACTAATAATATATGCTGTATAAATATCTCGCTGTATAAGTTGCCTAAATCCGGAAAGAAAAGGAATCCTTGTCTCGTTCCTCTTTCTTTCATTCTCGATTCACACTCGGATGTCGCTTGAGTGAGGATACGGCCATATCACATTAAAAATATCGGTTCTCATACGATCACCGAAGTTAAGCAACGTTAAATCTGGTCAGTACCTAGATGGGTGACCGCTTAGGAATACCAGCTGCTATAAATTTGGTTGGTGTAATGGATAATGGCTCTGAATTGGAAAATGGAGAGCCAAGTTTCAATTCCAGTCGGGTTCGTTATATACACTTACAAGCAAACACCTTCTCTCCCTTGTACTATAGGTTAATTTGGAGCACATATCAGTAAATCATTATTATCTCTTATAATCTAAAATCATTTTCTGGCTTTAAGTAATCTGCAAAGGTTAATACGTCGTAAAAAAAAAAATACAAATCATTCATAGAACCACTTGAGTGCAAAATTAATAAATAATAATAATAATAATAATAATAATAATAATAATAATTGTTATGTTCCAGGTTAGGACCAAGGAAGAACAACACGAACACAAGAGTAGAAATAACGAAGGTATATTACACGAAATAATAATACAAGATGTGAAAGTGTGTATGACTGTCAGTCTGGTTTGGAGAGAACTACTATCGGCTCGACTCGATTCGTCCCTCTCTTTTGAGAGACGGCGTAGTATACATAGTGTTACGAAGAGTTCATTCTGTAGTTATAGGTAAGGACCATGACAATAATAATAATAATAATAATAATAATAATACTTGGGATGAAAACAGCTGTAAACTGGTATGGACATCATCCTGAAGCTGTAGTTGAGGGAGTGTATGTTACCATATTTTTTTCAACAATACAAGAAAAATCGCCCGGACATTGTTATCAAAGATAGAAGAAAAAAAGCTTGCACACTGGTTGTCAAACACATCTTTGCGAAGGCTTTCGAACAACTAAAGAAATACAAAAACTCGGAAATGGAAATAGAAGAAAAGTGTCTCATAAAAAAACTAAAATGATTCCTGTTGTGACTGGAGCTTTGGGAAATAAAAGGAACTCAACAAAAAAATCAATAAAGTCCCTGGTGAACCATCACTCCAGGAAATCTTAAATATAATTCTCACGAACACAGTCCTTATCCTGCGATGGGTTTTGTCCATTTAATTTTTTTCTTTTTTTACTAAACTAGTCTTTTGTTTTTGCGGAAATAACAAAAAAAAAAAAAAATCAAAAACAAAAGAAAAAAAAACGCACCCTTCACTTGTCTAGTAACTTACACTACATCAGACACGACTCACGTGGTTTCGTATTTTAGGTGATTGGAAGTGTTAACATATTTTGTCTTAGTGACTTTACTTCAATAAATATCATTCCACATCTGTCTATATTTCTGAAATGAAGTATTGTAACTATTGGCACTCTTTACATTGCTCGGATTATTGTCCTCATATTCACTGCCATATTTACGGTGTCTCGCTCGTTCTACGCCCCGGCCTTCTTCATGATCTGTCTATATATCTGAAATGAGGTATTGCAACAATTTGCACTATTTACATTGTCCGGCTGTTGACCTCATCTTTATTGTTACATTAAGGAAATAAACATGGGAAGGTCTACGCAAACGTTGTCAAACCAATCTTCAGAAGAGCCAACATACAGATTGGGTTTGATTCGAAATTCAAACAAATATACCCTGAAGAAGGCCGCAGCATACAACGGCCGAAACGTTTTGAATTTAATTAGTGTAACTAATAAATATACCGTTCCGTATATGTTTAGTTAAATACTTAACCTTAATCAATTGTTTATATCCCCAAGAGGTTTAAGTAATGAGAATCTTTGACCATGGGCTGGACTAGTAAGGGAACATCATGGCTAAGTGTCGAGAGGTTTGTTTGATTTTCTTTAACCTTTAAGAATATGGCGGAAAACGTTTTTGGAATGGCATCTAGATCCTTGAGAAGCCACAATCGGCAACCGAATTGAGATACTCGGTCTTAAGGTAATTCTAACTGAGGCGCATTTGCAAGGATATAGGATGCGTTTTAATGAAAATGTATCATCATATCGAACATATTTGGCTATGATGTGTATTACAGGTGTTTTCTTATCAAAGTGCGTGTCATGATAGATATATTGGGTTTCCTATATTTGTCCCTCGGTACCACTTTATGATGCGGATATATCACTTACTACTGCTACTATTACTACTACTACTACTACTACTACTACTAATAATAATAATAATGAGATGAGAAAACAGATGACGAAAAGTTAGATGGGGCGGTAGAAATGTAAATTGTTATTGAAAAAATGGAGATGTTGTTTTCAATTAAATGTTGCAGGAATATTGTAAAGATGTTTATAGATGAAAAGCATTACTCTATAGAGGGATGAATATATAATATGGGTGCACATGAAAAGCATTACTCTGTAGAGGGATGAATATATAATATGGGTGCATATACGATAAGTTCACATATGCCATAACTGGAGAGATATATATCTAAGATAACTATACTGTATATGAGTGTAAGTAAAGAAGTATCTATCTATCTATCTATCTATCTATCTATCTATCTTGTTTTCTTTCAGTCTTTCTTTCTCTCTGTCTCTCAACCTTTCTATCTCTATCTTTCTCTCTATCTCTTTGTATCTATCTCACGGTCTTTCTCTTTCCCTCTCTTTCTCTATATCCATAGACTGATCAATCTATCTTATTTTCTATCTCTTTCCTTCCAACTTTCTCTCTCAGTAACTATCTCCCACTCTTTCTCCTGCTGTCTCTATCAACTCTCTCTCTCGATCTTCCCCCTCTGTCTCTTTCTATCTATCTATCTATCTATCTATCTATCTATCTATAAGCTAATGAAAATTCTTCGAAGAAAAGCATAATGGACTATACTGTATATGAGTGTAAGTAAAGAAATGTATCTATCTATCTATCTATCTATCTATCTATCTATCTTTCTATCTATCTATCTTTTCTCTTTCTTTCTTTCTTTCTCTCTATCTCGAAATCTTTCTCTCTCTATCTTTCTCTTTCCATTTTTCTCTCTATCTCTTTTATCTATCTCACGATCTTTCTCATTCCCTCTCTTTCTCTATATCCATAGACTGATCAATCTCTCTCTTTCCTTCCATCTTTCTCTCTCAGTAACTATCTCTCACTCTTTCTCCTGCTATCAACTCTCTCTCGATCTTTCCCCTTCTTTCTCTTCTCCCTATCTATCTATCTATCTATCTATCTATCTATCTATCTATCTATCAGCTGATGAAAATTCTTCGAAGAAAAGCAAAAGATGTTGGTTGAAAATCGCGTGCGTTCGACTTTGCAGAAGCAATTCGATTCCCGGGTCACAATTTCGTTGGTGGATGAGGATAAAGGTCGCAGTCATGCCTTCCTGATTTTTTCCTTTCTTTGATAAAGTCTTGATCAGAGCGGGTCTCCCACCAAGAGAAACTAGCAGGTGCACTTTTTTCTTATCTTTTTTTTTCTATTCTTCAAGAAGATTTACTTTTTTCCAACTCTTTTTACCGTAGTATTTCTGTCATTTATCTTTTCTTCACAAAATACAGATCAGCCTCCAGCAAACCTCATTATTATACTTGCTTTGCTGCACGCGCGCGCACACAGACACTCCACGCATACACACAAAAACGTGTGTGTGTCTGGGTATGTTTCTGCGTGTGTGTGTGGGTATGTATCAATCTCCCTGCATATGTCTTCAACTAAGTATGAATTTATTTTGTGATTCCCCCACTCACTCAACTATCTCTCTCTCTCTATATGTATGTATGTATATATATATATATATATATATATATATATATATATGTTATGAAATGGAAAAAATCCGGCAATTATTTAAAGACATTTTTATCTTTATACATACTTTATTATAGATATAAATATTTAAGTAAATAAGTTTATAATAAACAGTATTAACGACATTTACTGGCCTGAATGTCCGAGAAATTGTAATAGAAAGATATGCGTTCTCCGACAGGAATCGAACCTGTATCTTATACGGGACCGTTATATAGCCTGACGTGCTTTTACCGATTTGGCCACAGAGGAGCGTTTCGGTTAGTAAGTTCGATTTTACTTTTTTTTATAAACAGAGCATTTACTTAAAGATTTGTATCTATAAAAAAGAATGTATAAACATAAAAATGATTTAAAATATATATATATATATATATATATATATATATATATATATATATATGTGAATGAGACAGGGCAGTTTACAACACTTCGCTAACTTGTTTAGCCCTTAGCTCCAAATCATTGTCCTTGGTCATTGAAATAGTGATTTTTAAAAAGGTTTTTGGTGGAAAACGTTTTTTACCCCGTCTCCACTTTAGTCGTTAAGTATCACAAATAGATTTGCCAATAAAACTGAAATTCTGTAAAAACCTGGACGTAAATTTATTGTAGATGATCTGGGTTTAAAGCACTTTCTATAAATTAGTATATTGCTTTCTCTTTTAAAATCGAAATTCAACAACTATTGCATTGAGTGTGTAGTCTTGTGAAAGCTCCTTTTGGCTTTCACATAAGCGTCTATTTAAATTCCTCGAGATTCCTCATATGTATTTCTTGGATCAATTTAATCAGAACTCCATCTACAAAATTTAATAATTAGCTAATAGAAAGTAGAACTAATGTTTAATTTGTAGTAAATGCGTAATTGTTAGATCTTATTTCATAATTAGGCTAAAGACATTAACGTCCCTGATTTCTGCAAATTCCTTTGCAACTTTCAACCAGACACATTTGACATCAAACAAACCATTACAAATTACCTAACTGACATTCCCTTTAAACTTTATTTAATATACGAAGAAGTATAATTTATTTTTCCGAAATCTATTCCTCGAATTTTGTGATAACATTTCCTGTATAGAACGGATACTTACTCGATAAAATGAAATTTTAACATTAATCTTGTGCAAACACTATCACCAGCGATCTGATTGGTTGTTCCACCGATGAATATGCACGTAAGGCTGTTATTGTTCTTCTTCTTGTTCTTGTAACGGTATTCACCCGGGGTGGGTTGAGCCGGCTCCAATATTGGAGTTTCATGGGAATTTGGAATTCACAAGTGGTCCCCAACCCGCATGTATAGCACATGAGATTTGATTATAGTTGTGAAGGTTTCGTGCAGGACCATCCACACTTTTTGAAA